GCCAATTTATGCAAAATCTTTAGATACCTCACTGAGATGTAGTTCTTAGAATTGTAAGGTACCTGAAGGGAGCTCCAGGCCATGGATTATTGTACAAACCAGGAGGAGGACTTGAGGTAGTTGGGTATATAGATGCAGATTGGGCAGGCTCAGTGTCGGATAGAAGATCTACTACAGGTTACTGCATATTCCTTGGAGGCAATCTAGTGACATGGAAGAGCAAGAAGCAGACCATTGTGGCAAGGAATAGTGCTGAAGTCGAATACAAAGCCATGGAACACACTACATCTGAATTACTATGGTTGAGAAACCTCCTACAAGAAATTGAATTCTCAATGGATAGACCTATGAGATTGTACTATGATAATCAAGCTGCAATTCACATCTCATCTAATCATGTTTTTTCATGAAAGAACAAAGCACATAGAGATTGATTGCCACTTTGTGAGAGAGAAGGTCCTTACTGGAGAGATAAGCACGAAACATGTGGGCTCAGGTGATCAGTGGACAGATTTGTTTACAAAAGGTTTAAACTCGGAAAGAGTGAACTATATATGTAACAAGCTGGGATTATATGACATATATTCTCCAACTTGAGGGGGAGTGTTAGAGTTAGCTGAATGAGGGGTAGATTAGTCTTTTCAATCAGTTTAAGTTATGTGCTTATGCGGCAATTCCAATTAGACTTCATGTCCCATACTTAAGTGGGGGCAATTTAGTCATTGTACTTAATTAAAACCCCTAATCCATATTATGGTCGACTGGTAGGGTTTAGGCTACCAAGTTCAACTGATTTCTTCTTCTTCTTCTTCTTCTTCTTCTTCTTCTTCTTCTTCTTCTTCACTCTCTTCTGGTTTGAACTGTTGAAGCTACTGAACAAACAACCTCTATTTGTCCATTAGTCTGAGCATAAAGTTCAAGGTCATATTTGAGACAATTGATGGTTGTACCACTCAATTTTTTGTTGAAGAATCTCATAAATTCATTAGATTGGCTAAGGACAGCCTCAATACCTACCTTAGAAGCAATGAAGCATCACATTCAAGTACAAATAATTTATTAAAATCGGAAAGCAGTAAACAAGGAACGCTAGTAAGGCATACCTTAATAGTTTCAAAGGCTTTTTGGGCATGTGAAATCCAAGTAAAAGTGTTTCATTTGAGAAGATCTATAATAGGATCCATGATAGTGTTGAAATCCCATACAAAACACCTATGGAAACTAGCAAGAACATGAAAAGATTGGACTCATGTGCTTTCTTAGGTGTTAGCCAATCAACAATGGCTTTAATCTTAAGGCGGAAAAATGAGAAGAAGAAGAATTTGTTGATTGGACAAAATTGTAAGTTCTTTCCTGCTTATGATTTTATGTTTTAAAGCTCTCAAGAGTTCAAGATATCATACACAAACACCCGAGAATAATTAAAACCCATCACATTTTGTCTCTCATCACACTCAACCTCTCGTCAAAATTTCCTTGAAGACCTAGGAAGGGTCATAGCTACCCACATCCTCACATGCAAGGGGAGAAGCCCAAACACCGAGGTAACTGCATGGACATGTGGCAAGGCCCCAATTATCCAAGTGTCACAAATCAGATAATGCTATAACAAACTCTAAAGGGAAATTTTCTAGAAAATGAAACTTTGTAAGAAAAATCTATAAATAACGGTTCCCTAAGAGGATCCACATGTACATCACTACTCCAGATTGAGAACTTCCTTTCCTGCTTCAGATCTTCCTTTCTCAATTGAGACTCTCTCTCTCTCTCTCCCTCTCTCTCAAATCCTAATATCTAAGATCTAAAACCCCTTCCACAACCTCCCTCAGCCTGTCCAAAGGGTTTTGAGAAGAGAAAAAGAAAGAAAGAGGAAAGGAAGAATAGAAGAATAAAGAGGTTCTTTTTTCTCTATTCTCCCTCTGATTAAATAAAATAGAAATTCCATCTTTGTTTTTTCTGTTCTACTTTCCATCTTGAATATTTATCATATAAAGTTAATAACCTTCTTTAGCTGCCAATTGATATGAAATTTCTCTATTAAATACTTATTATAGTAGTATTATTTTTGAAAATAATGAAATTCGTATATGTAAAAGATTTTAATCTTTTAGATGTGATGACTTGCCACATTTTTAGAGGAAATTTAATTTTCTTAATAAAGAAATTTTCTATTTTTTCAATTTATATACGTGTTGAATGGTATATAATACTAGGGAACTAGCCAAAAAGTTAGTTCTTTATATTATAACATTCTTATCACCTAGGCATCGATGCCTATGCACCCACCTAGGCAATTAGGCAACTAGGCGCACCAATGTCACCCAAAATCACCTAGACACCTTGAAAACTATGATTGAATCATAACTAACTAGTTTGATTAGTCAAAGTCCTAGCTGAAATAGAAACTCCAATGGGATTGGGACTTTCCTAATCAGATTAAAAGAGGATTTGGGAAAGATTTTCTGGACTCTAAGGCTTATATAAACCCTTGGGTTGACCAAGCTTGCATCTTCTTGCTACTACTCTATTGAGAGAAATTTTGAGAAAATAATTCAGCACTAGTGAGAGATAGAGAAAACCCAAGATCGCCATTAGGGTTTTATCTCCCAATCTTGGACAACATTCAGACCTGTTCTTGGAGAGGATCAAGGCATGACCATCTCTTAGAGTTATTTGAGAAGAAAATCGTTTCTAGTACATCAGAGATCAAGGAGCAAACTTGGAGGTGTGCCATCTTCATCTCCAGCATTGTACCAGTGGGATTGTGATTGGGTATTCCAACGTGAACTACCATTTAGCCAATCTGCACTAGTGGAGCATCAAAACATAGGTCTAGGAATTTAGATTCTCTTTTTTAGGTCTGAAAAATCTTATTGAAAATCTGAAGGTCAATTCTTCAATCTTGGGTGAATTTTGGTTTTGAAAAACCTAAACCAATGTGCTGGAATTGTTTTCAGCATGTCACAAAATTTTGAATTGGCATTCTCCCTCCCAGCACCATTGGATGGTGGCCATTCTTCAGATTAATCATTAATGTTGTAATGATCAACTTCTTCAACCCCTCATGCAGCATTGCAGCTAGTTGATCCCTAAGATTGTATGAGTTTCTCCCAGGAGAAAAGAAACTACTAAGATTGGCTGCTCTATCACCAACTTGTTTTGTATACTAATATAAGTCTGACTATAATAAATGATGAAATTGAGGACAAATAGCAGAAGGGAATAAAGAAGAAAGGAAGAAGAGAAGAGAGATTGGAGAAGAAACCACTCCAAATCATGGTTGTTGTGTTGCTGTCTACTTTTTATGTAAACTAAGATTAAATGTAAAGGGAAATTACAATCATGGCCCTGATTAAGCAGCCAGAAATAAGAAATAAAAATAAGCCCCATAAGCCCACTAAATCGAACAGTCTAATAAAGACTAAAACTAATTAAGCAAATGGAAAGTCAGCAACATAAACTAACTAGAATCAAAAACAGAAAGAATGTCAAAATAAGGAGAAAAGTAGATAGGAGGCTCAAATAATACTTGGAAAATCATGGTATTTTGTCTCAAATATCATGTCCTTTCACCCACAGTGAAACAGGATGGTAAAGAGGAAAATTCATAACAACCTGAGTGTTGTGGGAACCCCATACAATATTCTCATGTACGAATTTCCTTTTTGGCTGAGGCCAATACATGGATGAATAGGATACCAGAAATCAGCCTCTGGTGACAGTCCTAGCCAGAGGAGAATGGTAAAGCAGGTTTTACTAGCTGAATCTATTAATTCTTTATTAGTAAAAGTGATTGTGATTGTATTATGTATGTATTAGAAAGGAAAATAGGGCTAAGGATTAATGGAGTTGAGGTTGAATTGGTTGGTACCAGAGTCTAACTACTCCTAGGGAATGAAATAAACAGCTAGTATTTTTGTCTACCCATGGTAGCTAAAATAAGGATATTGTTTGGCTTGGAATTCCCATATTTTATATTACCAGGCTTTCTTTTCATGGTTAATCATGGAAAGCAAGTTGTAGATTTTGCATATATTTTGCCAGTAATAACGACCAAAAGAGTTTTGCTAAGATAACGACGACCCCTACTACATGAGATAACTCGTAACGGGGAACAAGATATAAGCATTCCCAGACTCTATACATGAATGTTTAGCTTGTTTTTTATCAATAACTGTAAATTCAATTAAAATATTAAAAGAAAGTTACAATGTGAACAGAGGGCAGATGGAGATAAAGCATCTTATCTCCAAGCCAAAAACATTGAAACCGAGCCCAAAACATTTGAATCCTCCCAACCCCTTCTTTAGCCAAAGAATCAGTCATGCTGTTAGTCGTCCTTTGCACCCATTGAATTTTAATGTCCATGCCTGTGGTTATCCAATAAAACATTTGAAGCCTCCGATAAAACGTGAATGTTTAGTTTTTACCATGTCCCTTTCACAAGGGGAGATGATTTTAAAATATGGAAGAAGTTGCCTATTCAGGTAAGGAAATGATTTGAATTTAAGCATATCCATCCCCCCCCCCTCCCCCTCAAACCCGCCCTGAGAAAGCAAAATAACATATAAGGCTTCTTGAACTGTTACTGATTTAAATTATTAAATGCAGTATATGCAAAACATAATAATCGCATTACCAATAAGAAATGCTGATAATGGCCGGATATATTTCCCCCCATAAATTCAAAGAAATGCTTTAACTACAACAGTAAACTTCACCACCTTAGCATTGTCAATACTAATTTCCAACTCATATCTTAAAAATTCCATCTTAAAGCATATAAATGCGAGGAAAGTAAAATAAAATCCAGCTAACTTTAATAACCTTCGTTTCTACTGGGACCCTAAATGATTATTATAATTGAAATGTTCCAAAGAGAGCAAAACTTACGTAGACAAATTACAAATTAAAGTTTTTGCGAATCACCATGACCTCAATTGATCAGACTCTATCAAGCCCGTTAAACAGAAATTGAAATTTCCTATTAGAAAACATACCGCTGCTCTGCGGGCCCATGATCGCCACCACCGCATAGGAGAGTCCGCATTCAACGAGCTTTACAGTTTTGCTAAAATTTTCGAGGCCAGTGGCATTGAATTCGCCATCGCCGTCGATTAGTTGCGTAGAACAACAATCATCCCCCATTTTTAATCCAGATAAGATGACAAAATAAGCCTATAAATCATTCAAGAACATAGAAAATTAAGGGATCTGCTTCAGATTTATCTGCATTAAGCCAGTATGGATTCTAGACAGAGCTTTCTCGTTTCTCCTACGATCTTTCTTCCTTCTCAGAGAGAGAGAAAGAGAGGGAGGGAGGAGAACCTAAGCTACGTTAAAGAGAGAGAGAACTGTCTCAGCGAACGTTCGGTTTTTAAGAGAAAATCATTTCTTCGTTCGTCGCAGTGTAATCGTTCGTTACGCAGCGTATTACACACGTATTGCTTTTTCATCATTAAAAAAATGAATGTTTTTCCTACTTTTGACATAGAAAGCAATCGTATCGGAACTTTTTTCCGTCAACGTAGCAAACGGTTTATAATTAATCAGGCGGAGGATTTGTAGGGTAGAATTGTAGGTTATACCGTTATATTGGAATCTTTTATCTCAGTTAGAATCCTGCTTACATATTCTCTATACATAGTATTAATTTCCGAGTGCTAAAGGTTCTAATCAAACGGTAGTAAGGCGAGGAGCTACGTTGTCATCTTAAGAAGACGTCATCGTAAAACTCCGGGGTCTTGAATCTTCTTACTTGTAAGCTAAGCAAGAGATGGAATTTGAGAGTTCATCTTCTCCTCACTTTTCGCGCATCACACCGACCCCACAGAACGTATCAGCCGTACACGTGTAACGCCTCGTACTTGTAAATTTTTAACGCGAAGATGTTATGAGACGCGCTCTGTTATGAGCAAGGATGAAATTTGATTCTGATTTTTTTTTATTAAATAGTTCAAACCTTCTTTTAAGTTTTTAACCGTTGCTGAAAGCCTGAAACCTCCCCTGGAAGTTTGATCTCTTCTTCTATAAATTTGTTGACAGTTGACACACCCCAGAGGTAAAAAATGTTCAAAATAACTATGTAGTAATTATTGATGATGGTTTATACAAATTTTATAAAAAAGAGAATAATTTAAAGTTGCAATTTTATATTAAAGCGATTGATATGAAGGGCAAATTTGAAAAATAAAACACTATCAGAAAAGAAATTGGAATGGTGCAATTCATATGAAAGGAAAGTTTGGAAAATAAATATTTTGGTCAAAAGTAGTTACATGGGCATTTTGGAGATTTTCATGCCTCTTTTTAGAAGATTCTAATAAAGAGGGTCTACTTGAAACTATGTCAAGAAGATCAGGGAGGTCAGTGCAATTACCAAACTTTTGGAGATGTTTCAAGTTTCAACAACAACCACAAACTTCGGGGGAGGCTTCAGCAAATTTCCCTTTTCTATTGAAGACAAAAATAAGAGTTTGTTTGGTAAGAGTGTATGCAACAGGATCTCTTGCAAAAAAAAATTCTATGCACATTTTGCAGCCATGGGCATTCAAATGAACATTAGGCTCAGTTTGGAAGGAGTACAAATACAAATATATAGAGTGCAAAATTATGTATAGGCTTAATTTGGAAGGAGTACAAATACAAATATGTAGAGTAAAAGACCTTATATTTTGTATTATTTTGTATGTATTTACGTTGTACATATTTGCATTTGTACTCCTTCCAAAATGAGCCTTTAGGAACACTTTTAGGGTTGCAAATCGATCAATCAGATTCAAAGTAGGGAATATTCAAATCCACTCCATTAAACTATAGATCTGATCTGATCCAATATGAAGATCTGATCTGATCTTATATTTGAATTCGAATTTGATAAGGACATCAAATATCCAAATATGATCCAATCCGATTTAATTTAAAAAATAAATTATTAAAAGGATAAGAAAATATAACTATTTAAATAAAGAAAAAAAATAAGGTTTTTCAACTGTTTTCATCATATATATATACATGTTTTTTATAAAAACAAATAATATAAAAAATTACAAAAAATGCAATATAAATATCATATATATCGGATGGGATGGGGGTGATCCTAATCAATCCGGTTTTTTAATTGAATCCTATTATCCAATCCAACCCGAAAATTCAAAATGGGGATATCCAAATCTGACAAAATAGGATCACATTAGATCAAATCAGATTATGATCTGATCTATTTGCACCCCTAAACACTTCCATATAAATATATTATACATACATGTAAAGGAGATATTTCTAATGTATGGCTAGATGCCGATGAACATGAGGACATCCCATCACCTATTTGTAACTGGATTATGAGCCTGGATCTCCTATAAGTAAAACCTCTGCACACAGTTAAAGAATGGCAATTGAATATCGGGAACATCTCCACATGAATTTAGCATACATGTGGGAGATATTCCTGATGTAGGGTTAGATGATGTGTGTGCAACGTTTTTGCTTGTCAAACATCCGGGCTCTACAAAAAGGGATAGATGTATTAAATTAGGAGAGGACCCAACCCAAAGCATGTAAAGTAGGAGTGAAACATGGGTGCTTCCAACCTAGTCCAACATGAGATTTTGCAATTATTGAGCCTAAGTTTTTGGGCTGTGGCTTGGGCCTAGGCAAAAAAAGAAGGTATATATATTCAAGAGTCCAACTACATGCATTTTTTAATATTTGTTGTATGCTAAATCGAAATTTCAATCAATCACATTAAAAAAGCCGCAAGGCCTATTTCCTTCTCATTGATTCATGTTTTACAAGGTGTACCTTCACATCTAGGAGGTGCATTTACCATTAAAGACTTTAACAATGTTATAGATTAAATTGTCAAGTGTTGTTTTTATCATTGGTTCTTTTTTTTTTCTTCATTTTGCTTCACAATGCAGTTTATGCACCATAGGTTTTGCCTATTTATAATCAACTTTACTCTAAATTTGGGCCATAAATTCATTCAAACCCAACCAACTTGTCCAAACTCATCTCGATTCAACTCAAGCCTAAGCCCGAACCTAGCCAAAGTTGTGTCAGGTTAAAGCTATGGTTGGGCCTAGGGTTGATAGCCTTGGGCTTAACCTTGGGTTGGGTCAGTCACAAACCAGAATTTATACCTTTAGGGTAGGCCTAGGTTGATCTTCAAACTGACCCAAGGCGTTCAAGTTGCACCCCTAATGTAAAGCTATTACAATGGGTTGGGCTAATGGGTTGAGATTTTAAGGCTATAACATAGGATGATCTTATTCTTAGGTTGGGTTGAGGCCTTAAATACTTAATCCAACCTAAGTTCGACCTGAATATGTTGCATCTTCTCTTACTCTTCACACAAAATGCCCAGAATCCAACTAACCTAGTCATGCCCAAATAGGCCCAAGATCATGTAGATGTATTAACTTTTTATTGGAATGTAGAATAATGCCAATATGATGTTATTTATTTATTTATTTTTCTAGAGGGGAAGAGTAAAATATATAGACATACCCTATAAGGGTAGTTACACTTAGGCAAGGTTCAAAATATCGTTACGTATCATACCATATCGGCCAATACGTATCGTATCGTGGCCTTCCCAATACGCTCCTACATGGAATATTTTGGATTAAACCATGGTTCAGAGAGTAGCCAGCCTTAAAACAACCCCTCTGAACCAGATTTAAAAAAAATAAAAATAAAAAAAGCATCGATACAGGCCGATACACCTTACTAGCGTATCGAACTGTAATGATATATACTTTGAACCTTGCACTTAGGTCCTTGAACTTTCATTTGTGACAAAAAGCTACCATGTACTTTTAGGTTCTAATACTTGTTCTTGTCGTCGACATTTCTTTGATTTTGAACTTTTATAAGACCATTTTGTCCTCTCATCTATTGCATCTCTAAAATCCAAGTTTTAAACTTCTCCTATATCCTTTTTTCTCTTTTTTATTTGTTTAAGAGAGGCAAAATTAGTGGTAGAACATCCACCATTGTTGGTTCAAATTAAGAGGGGTGCTCTCTATATGCTAGAATCAACAATGCTGGAGACTCTACCTCTTTCAACTACCTTCATCTCTCTTTTAAACAAAATAGGATGCAGAAGTTGGGGACACTTCCTTCCATGTCATTTTTATTTTCCATATATATATATAATATACTTGTTATTTTCCATATAACATAATATAGGTTCATTCTGTAGCAGGAGCAGAACTTCAAAAGTAGATCAAAGGGATTTACCATTTTGATTTATGAAATTAGGCAGATGGATGGATTAGAATTTGGAAATACATTCCAAACATGTATCTAATACAGGTAGGTTGGGGTATTTTAAGGGACAGGTGTAAACTTTTTTTAAGTATTCATTGGACTTGCTTACAAAATTTTCTAATTATTCATTGACGTGCTTAATGTTGTACCTACCGGTTAGTTTTTATTAGGTATCATATCTTTCGGTATTATAGTTAGATTATTGAAATGTAATAGACAGATTATCTATGAGGTTGTCTTTGAAATGTAATTGACAGACTATAAATGTGTTGTCACATCACATTATATATGGGATTGATCATTGACCTTAAAAGGTCCAAAATTTACATTTCAAGTGGAAAAAAAAATTTAGTGGTGATAGTCATTCCACTTTGTGGCTAAGAAAAATAGAGAAAATATCTCTCTGGCATCAATACAAAATTAGTATTTTAAAAATTGATTGGTTTTTTTTTCTAATTTAATATATGTATACATGTATATATGTATGTATGTGTGATAGTTTGAAAATATACAACCTGAATTATGGATCCTCTGGCCCATTAATTCTCTTTTCAAATAGTTTTTCTTTTGAAGACAGGCTAAAATCATATTGTCGTAAAAGTAGTTTACTACATTTTAGGAAAAAAAATCGGTTCAAAGAATTCAGCCTTCACCAATCATTCGAGTGGATTTAAAGTTTTTGAGGAATTTGGGGTTTTGTCATTTTTAGTTCCTGTTATGTTATTGAGTTTACATGAGTATATTCAATCTTTATGCTATCCCAATGAATTTCCCTAGGATTCAGGCTGATTTGGGATGCCGGAAATGAGAATATTCATGAGAAACGATTAATTCATCCAGTCCATCTAATTGAGAGGGTAGATAATTTTATCCTTCCTGTTCCAGAACCATCTCTGGTAGCTAAAGCCCAACCAAGGGCCTCTTCCTTTCAAGCTACTCACATCATGTTTACTGATGGAGCCTTCATGGCCTCATCAGGGGAGGCTACTATTGGATATGTTCTTTTATCAAAGAATCTAACAACTATTTTTGCAGAAAGAAGAAGAATTCTCGTCGTTTCTCCAGCCCAGTCTGAATGGTGGGCGTTGA